CCGTGATAGTATTCATTTTATGCAATGGGGCCTGGTCATTTCACAATTTTCATTGAGTTCTCCATTCACACCAAATTATAATACCCCTCTACCGATCAGATTGTTGGCGATAATATAACATCATAAATAAGTTTTTCAGCTGAAGTAATTTAAAAAATAAGATTAAAAATTGTTACTGGAAAAATATTAATTCGCAGTATCTAAATCCCCATTACGTTGAAAGAAATATGGAGAAACTCTAGAAAAAAACAAAAAGAAAATATGTGTTGGAAAATAATAACATATATATTGACTCTCTACAATACAACCAGATACATTACTCCTACTCAAAGCCTGTACTAACTGAAGTTGTCTATTACAACCTGTTCCTCAAGTATTTCGACTCAAGAATAGAACAGACTCTTAATCCAGCACCCTGAACCTCTCGTTCCTTGAGCACGCGTTCGCCCAGCCACATTTCTTGTAGTAAGCATAACCAAGCTCTCGCGAGAGTTAGCGCGGGAACCGACACGTCACGCGTGGTGGCTGTGAGAGAGGACAGACGAGCAATTATTAGTTCAACCGTTACACATCTGATAGTGCTGTGTGGGACACTCTGCGTCAAACCTAAGCCTCGTGCCAGGCGTGACAAAATAAAGGTAAAGCGTGTTATCTGGAGAGAAAAATAAGGCATACACGCGGGGCGAGTGGACGAAGAGGCCGTAAAGCCACGCCTGCTGACAGTGGCATATAATGACCACCTATCAATACAAATCCTACCATATTTGTCGTCATGTTCCGCAAATGCTCTTTATATAGTGTGAGTTGAACACACAAGACATCTTCATGGCATATAAAGCGCGGTCAGGCTTCGTGAAACTTTTCTCTCTCGCCAGATAGTAATTTAAGACCCAAAGGAGTGTTACTTACCTAGTGTGTGAGGTATATTATCTTAGTTAGATACCTAGTGACGTAGCATACACTAACTTACACTACTCCTCTCAAGTTATAAATTCAATACTTTTGCTCTAAATGAGAATTCGTACGCAAGCCACGACTTCATTTCATATATAATATATTTAAAGTTTTATAAATTAGATATATTTGTTTCGGGTTCGCGACATAAGCGAAAGCAAGCAGCATCGATTCTCAAAATATCGTCTGGTGTGCGCGCTTTCTATTTTTGATGAAACTCTACCTCAGGCTTCACTACGTCGTATCTAAGTAGTTGATGTATCTATGCGCGCAGCGTATCATAATTTATCTGTCATAAACCACTTCTTAAAAGGTGTGAGAGCTTCATTTATAAGATAATTATCCCGTGAGGGCTCTCAATACTACACACAAGCGACGCGAGCATATCCAGAGCGCGAACCCAGCATTTCTGAGGAGATGTACAATACTTAAGAAAGCCCGAGAAATTAGTGGTTACGCACTGTCACATAAAAATTATATTTTAGGCCATTTTGTGTTATAGCTTCAATTCATCACTCATCGCACCTACTTAATACCATTATTCAATGCTTTTGTATTTCTTTTTTTTGATATTTGATTTAGTTTGGGTCTCTTAATTGAACGAGGGTCATCTCCTCTTGAACAACTCTCGAGCACTGATGAAATGTCAAGTAAGCATACACCTCTTGGCTCCGACCACTCCCGCCTCGTTGAAAATATCAGTCACTCATCCTCACACGTCACCTCTCAAAACGACTAACGTCACTCCAACACACCACATTAGTACTTTCAGAATGTAAATGCGAATGCCTATTCATAAACAAAATATCTCCTCCATTCAGTGCACTAGAATAGGTCTGGAGCTTGTTTTAGATGATATAATGAGATTGTTTCCGAACATTTTTGAGCCGGCACTGGCGTGCCCAATCATGAAGGGATGAGATACATTTATATTTGAATTAAAGAATTTGTAGCATTAGAATTGAACTTGAACACTGACACAGACAAAATCACTAATTTACTTCAGAGAGTGTGAGTCCCTATGAATAGCCAAAAACCTGAGCAGACTCATATGACACAACTCTCTACAGAGTCTATCAGTGTGTAGCCCTCTCACGTGTTCTTTCTAAACTAGTATTTCACGCTTCGAATACAATAAATTGTACCATAACTTGTCCGCGCATATACCTCCCTTCTCCGAATACATACACTCTGTGGGTCGTTAACTTATTTTATAAATTTTAGAGCATATTTGCATGCATATATCGCCCGTGTGATACAGAATTAACTTCCAGCCTAACTGACCACATTTGTAGATGGTACAGAAAGTGGGCGTTAAACACCTAAGGTTAGGAAGCTATATGACAATAAAAAATATTTACAGAAAACTAAAAACGGAAGGGGCTGTAAGACTGGTTAAGCCTGAAAATATATTGAACACTGGAATTCGGATTTCATTGATGGGTTGATTAAGATTCTGGGTGCCGTCAATTGCTAAAAGTTGAGTAGTTCCCGTAAGGGCAGTGAATGTGATTTTATTATGAGAGCGGTGGCGGTGACTTCTCCCGCTGGATGGCGATATCCGGTCGCAGCGTCTACCCGAAATCCCCTAGCGGGCCGTTTTCCCCAACCCAGGTATCTCTCACCAGCGGGGCACCGCCCCCGCCAGGGACCAGCTCGAAACTCCCGACTGGCTCCCGTCCGTATCAGTAGAGTTGTGCATTAGACTGTAAGGCTGTGTAAGTAAGGATGAGAATAGGACAAGAAAGAGAAAGGAAGATCGCGTGCGGTCCTGTTATGAACGGTTTGGTAGTGTAATGCTCTGGCATTCGCCTGGAGTGATGGAGGATACCGCGGTAAAACTGCCGGATCAGAGCATCCTGCCAAACTAGGAATCTCCTCACAGATAGCAGCTGAATCGCCCGCGCTACGCCAACTGTGTCGAAAAATCCTTCCCCCGCAAGGGACTCCGGTCAGAGGCGCTGCCAAGGTGCTGGCCCTGAGCCAGCTCAGCGGGTGGGTGAACGCAGGCCGACTCACCTCCAGCGCCGGGCAGCGCGGACGTGGGCGCGCCGCGGCGGGCTGCAGGCCGCGGAAGGCCCGGGTGGCAGCAGTGAGCTGCTGCTGCGGCTGCTCGGTGTGCTGCGCCGGACTGCGGCCCGCTACAGGAAGCCCCGGGCGGCGGCGGCGGCCCGCGGCGGCCGACAATGGCCGACATGGCGGGAGGGGCCGGCGGTGCGCGGGCTGCCGGCCCGCCGCCGCCGCCGCCGCTGCGCCCCCGCCCCCGCCGCCGCCACCGCCCCCAGGCCTCCGCCGCCCCGCCGCCGCCCGCGCCGCCCCCGGGGCTTGGGCGGACTGGGCGACTGCGAGGGCGCCGGGCTGGACGCGGCCGAGACGGCCGCCGCCACGTCCGCCGGCAGCGCGCCCGCGCCCGCCGTGTTCAGGATCTGCATCTCGCGCATCTGCTCCTGGCGGATCTCGTCGTTGTAGTCCTGCGAGCAACAAGCATTGCAATGCGTTAGCCCTCATCTGAATCCGTTCATTTTTAAGAAACTTTCATTACATCATTGTATAATTTAAAAAAATAATTTTCTCAAGATTCTTAAAATTCTGAAATGCACATGGTGACACCTTTTAGGATGTTATATAAAATAACATGAAGTTCTAAATGCATGACTGCAACATTTTAATGTAAAAGTTTGAACTATCTACTGTTCCCCATACTAGCGTGCCCATACGAGCACGCTAGAGTGGTAAAGGTTAGATGTGTACTCCTACGGTCCAACGATTCCAAAGCTATAAGGATTCTGGTAATAAACTAATAGGACATCTAGATAAAGGGATATGGGTTCATAATATAAAGTTCCTAATATACATGTTTCATTTTGTTTATAAATGTAATCAGTGCTTGTCAATAAAACTGTAGTTTAAGATCGGATTTATGAGTTCAAAGGGCAACAGGTTCAGATAATGCTAACAACCACAGAAAATGATAAATTATGACTACTTAGCAAATATCATTAATTGGCTGAAGTATACCAGACTTACTCGTGATTGTTTACTACTTTTATTTATCAGACAAGAAAAAAACGAATGTCGTGAATACTGTAAAATGGAAGTAATTATCTGTATATCCCCGCCGCGCTCGCTCTCCCCATGCGGCGTCGCTGCACTCTCTCAACCTCGCGATCGTCTTCGTGTGATTCCGTCTGGTCCCATGCCGGCCTATTCCCTCCCAACCCACCACAGTTTGCACAGAACTTGTAAACAAAAGTTGACGTTAACTGTGACAAATTTCCGTACACATTTTCATTGAAATATTTCAGAAAGAGCTAAATTATAATACAAGAACAATTAAAGTAATAAATTAAAAAGAGTACAATAATCTACTTTCGTGGTATCTTAATCATTGTTTTGCAATTTCAGCACAATTTTTTTTAAAAATGTTGAAAGTACAAATATTTTCTGTTTAATTTTGCATTTAACTGTTGTCTTAGGATATGTGAAACATGTCTTTAGCCACCGACTGGAGTTCTGCTCCATTATATTAATGAAGCTTGCATATGCTTTCATCATTTGCATTACATTTAACATCCTATGTGATTAACCATAAAAAATATTATGTCTATTATTCCAAATTCGAAAAATTATTACTCGTAATGTGCATTCAATATGTCATCAAGCTCAATCTACGTAATTATTTTACAGTTATTGTTCCACCACAAGTGATGCAGTTAAAAAAGTTAATTTGTTGCATAGATTGAAAACACGCCTCATTGTCATCGCTAACTCAAATATTTTTCTGACTATGAAATTCAAATTAATTTCCCAATTCCATTAAAATAACGGTAATGAAACACCTAGACAACAACCTCCAACATTCATAAATGACGTAATAAATTTTTCTTCGTGGACTTAGTTTTTTCTTGAAAAACAAGTGAAATGAGCGTAATCTGTAAAAGCCTACGTTTGTTAGAAAATATCCTACCCTTTCTATTATGTACTTTCAGTAAGTTTGTCATAATGAAGCAATCAAGTATTTGGAAATTTTTTATATTCTAATTATTATCAATTAATTTCTCTCATTATTTCTATATATATATATATATATATATATATATATATATATATATATATATTTTATCATAAAAAGCAGTTTACAAAGGGGTTTTGTTCCGTAACGAGTAGGGACCACTTTATTATTTCTCAATAGCCCACAGATTGTTGTCAAGAATACTACCAACCCGAACCTTTCTTTCTAAAACACAACTCTGGCTGTACAGATCCTGAAGAAAACCGATGTACCAGTGTGTAGGGCCTCATAGGGAAGTCTTTGAAAGGGCGGGTGGACATACAAAGACGGCGCACAAAAAGTGTGCGCTAAATGAATAGTTTTCTCTAAAACGTATAGTTCTTCGTCAATTTATTACTCCTTTTTAAATATCTGAACAATATTACGTACTTCAGCAACAGTCAGAATAACACTAATGATAACTCCATCTTCATAAAATTAACAATTGCATTGTTTTCATTTTTTTCATTAAACACGGCTTAGTATGACTTACGAACACGCTTTATCTGCTACTTCAGTGTTGAGCACATTATAGCTTGCGTTACGCACATTTTAGCATGTTAACTTCCAAAAATTTAGAAAAAATTTACCATTAAACGTGACATAACAGCTTAATATAACAAACTGGAGAATATTCCAAAACTTTCGTCCCCTATCTTCAAAGTGTTTCTCAAGCCTTTTTTTATATTTGAATCGAAATTGCAATTTATAAGCAAAATATATAATTTGTAATTGAGACGTAGGATGCAAGAGCTCGTTTGAGAGCTGTCTCGAACGGTGACTGCGACTGCCCTTACCGGCACCATGAACTTGCGCACTTCGGCCAGGGCGTAGGCGATGCGTGCGTGCGCCTCGGCCGGGGGCGCGAACGCTGTGATCTCCACGTGCAGGTCGTCGTTGAAGTGCGCGTACTTCGGGTCCGTCGACGCGCGCAGCTCCTCTTCCTGCAAACAGAGCATCGAAGCATTAAACAAGCAGCCACACGCTGCTGGAATTCATTTCATCTCGACTTTTTATGAATTTATGTATTGTTCAAGAACGGTTAAGAAACGCGGTGTGAAATGCAAGGAGGTGGAGGTAACTACGTTTATATATTTTTTTATAAAAATAAACAAGATTCGCGAACATCTGTTTTTTTCTTCATAAGTATGTATGTGAGAGGGAGGGACATTCTACATTCCACAAAAAAGTTATTGCAGGAATGACATAGAAAGAAGAAAAGTTCAAATATCAATAGGAAAATAAAAATCCCATTTTTAAATTTTCATTTTCGTCTCACAAGATTTTGTTTACTTTCTGGATGACATTACTTTTCCTCTGATCTTTTATCATTACTTCAAACATTGGAGTATATTACACTCGTAAAATTGCTTTAATCAGTTATTAAAGTCATGCGTACGATAGTAATAATTCTAATTTAACAAGTTTCCAGAACATATATAGAGAAATGATAATAATATTGGGGAGAAAACTAAGTTTGTAATTTACGCTGTGCGGACATGACATCCATAACTACGTCACGGAAATCAAAAGCATTTCGGCATCTTTCTTTGTCATAAATCTCGGAAAAAATATAGCATCCCTGATGTTTTTCTTTTAATGGGTACGTTTTTACCTTATGTTTGTCCCGCATAGATCCACGGCCCAAAACTGCCATCTTCGTCATCGTTTCTTCCTGCAACCTCTTCAAGGAATTTCCCTTGGGCCCCAACAGCTTTCCAACGAAGTTGAACTGAAAGGGAAAAAACGTATTTTGAGAAACCTTTGTATTTACATTTAATCTCTAAAATATTCATAAATAAATATACTCATAGATATCATTCAATATGCTTTTTATTGTTGCTGGTAGATTTTGAGAAAACGTGAAAATGTCGAAATTGTCTGGTTACATCTCGACAAAGTCGATAAACATAATAAATAACGAAATATTCCTCAATAAACTATTGTTTTAGTCTTAACAGTTCTCATATATTCCATATATTGTACATACTATTAATTTTCATGTCACAATTTATCCACTCTTACATTTGTCCAAGTCAACAATTTCTGAGATTCTTTCAAATAAAATAAACAAAGTTTATGTCGTACCTAAGTCTTAAAATTACCAGTACGGTTCACAAGACAGACATTCTCAGAAATGCTCTATAAAAATAACATTTTTTTATATTTCCTTTTTCCCTCCCCAGCTTCCTCCCGCGAAAAAGACCGTCCTGCGGTCCGGGCTGCATCTGCCAGCGCAATCTGGAGGGAGGGATTAGAATGAAGTGCAGTCGAACAGCTGAGAGAAACGGGAAGAACGGAGAGGACAAAAAAAAAAGGCCCCTCAAGAGTTGGGAGCTGAGGTGGAAAAGTGTCAGAAAACTTCCCGGGACTGAAGTTTGAAATGCTCCTTTTAATTTTCTGCGCCCAGGAAGCAGGCTGCCACGGCGCTGGTGGCGGAGGCGCGGCGCGGCGCGGCGCGGCGCGGCTCAGCGGTTGCGGAACCGCAGACCAGACCGGCGGCGTTGGATGACGAAAAGGCACAGCGAGAAACGACGTGGCACAAGACGGAAATAAACATAGCACTGCGGAAAAATATAAAAAAAAAAGTGGTAGTTGAGAAGCGTCGAAATGGCGAACAACCAAAAAAGGTATCTCGCGAAAGGAAATTGAGTAGAAATAATGTGTTAGGGGGTTACAGTAGTAACAGAAGGTATGAATGCAAATACACGCCACAAATAATGCGAAAATTATAAGCAAAGCGGGAGAAATGCGATGAAAGGCAAACAGGATGACTATGAGAAATTAAGATGTGATCTTCGCAATTTCAGGAAGACGATATAAGATGCAGAAGAGATTAAGGACCGACAAAACGATGCAAACGGGAAGGCGCGGAAAAAAAGGGTTTAGATTACAAAGTTAATAAAGAAAAGAAAGAGAAGGGACAAAGACAGAGAAAAACAAAAAAAGAAGTGCACGCAGCAAAGAGGGAAAAAAATGACGCAACAGTAGGGAGCGTGAGAGGTTTTTTGGGGCATTAGCAAGCACGGATGAGAGAGAGGCGGCCCCGGGCGCGGAGGAGGGGGAAGGGGAGGGGGAAGGAGGAAGGGGAGGGAAGGAGGGGGAGCGAGGGGAGGGGGAGGGAGAGGGTTGAGTGCGGCGGCGAGAAGAGCCGGCAGCGAGGCAGCTGCAAGAGCGCCGGCGGACGGGCCAATTGCGAAAAAATGGCATTGTAGAGCTAAATATTGCTAGCGCCGAGGCCGGAAGCGGCCGCGTTCAAGGATAAGGACAGCTACGCGCGCCGGCTCACTTTGCACATCTGCGGTTTCAACTTGTAGCCGCCACAATGGACTACGCATTCGCTCGTAAACCCGAGCGTGTGGAATTTTGCTCGCGGTTAGAGCGTGACAGAATTCCTTTTCCAATTAGACAGACGAATACTGCTCACTGGTCCTTAAAAGTTTTTTTCGAGATCGTTTTGTACCACATGGACAGTAAACATATGGGAACTGCCGAAATATACGTAAAATTAAAAGTTAGTTTCATTTTTTGAACGGTACGCTAACATGCGAGAGATCATTAAATATTTCATCATTCTGCAAAATTAGAGTTAACGGCAGATGATAGGGCATGTAAAAATTGTAGGATAATTTTATTTAAGGAACATGTCGATTTACAATTATTTATTTCTTTTATATTCGGCGTGTAGAGAAGTGCCAACCTTCTATGAGATGTCGTGCAAAGATAAAAACAAGTGCTACTCTAGTCAGTTTATAATTTTTATTTGAACTCTCAGAGACCGAATGCAGAATGAAGTGGAAAGTTCACAAACCTTCAATTTATGGTTGATTCAGGATTGCACGAAGAATATTATTACCATCGTACCAAAAATATGACAACAATATTTATGCATTCTTTACAATCAATAAAACATCGTAAACAAGACAAGATTCCATTAAGTTTTGGCTTCAATCAATGGGACTGGCGTTTCAAAACGTATGCACAAATATCAATCTAAATTATATTAAAGCAATTCGTTGTGCAAATCTAGAATTAAAGTTTGGAAATTAGCACAACTTAAGTGCAAACACGTTCACAGAAAGACAAGAATACAATCTACGATTAAGTATTACAATGTACCATTACAAAGACGTCTCAACATGGTTCTCACTACTATTACCTAAGCGATCAGTTCAGTCCCAACAAGGCGAAACTAACAGTGCTCATCTAAAGCTCCAAAAATTATGGTCTGCACACAGCTCAAATTCTTTTAAAGATCTAGCAGTAATAAGTGCGAATACCTGTTTTTGCCATTCCCTTGCGGGTTTTTAGAACGCCTTTGGTACAATTGATCGAAGATTGCAAAGAGTGGAGCAAACATTTCATTTCTTCGCGTGTTCTTGCTCTCTATGCGCCGAAAGTCGTTGCTTTAATCGAGCGGACCACGGCGCAAAGATTCGTCGTCGGCCGTACTCCACCTTTCCGTCACTTACTCCCATACATTCCGTATTCTGACACTCCCGAAATACACTTGATCTGGTCACTTGTTGCTTGCATGCTCCACCTTTTCGTTGCCACTCACTTTCATTTCTTTGTTGAGTTAACTGCAAGATCAATAAATATTAAGAGATGAATGCAGAGTTTTTGATTTAACCAAATCAATATTACTATTGCAGCTCAATGTAATTAAATTAATCAGCTACTAACCGTGTTAAATGACGCAAGACAGTGTAATGATTGGCCGTTTGACGAGACAGGTTCCGGAGGACAGGCGGGTCGCGGGCGGAGTTGGGTCCAGTCGAGAAGAGAAGGGGCGGGGACATGGCGACGGTGCGGGGTCGTGCGCGCAATAGGGCGCAGGAGCGGGGAACGCGAGCGGACGACGGGCGTGGGGTGGGTGCTGACGGGCGTGGCGTGCGGGTGAGGCATGACGGGGGCCAGACGCGGGAGAGACGCGGCAAGCGAGCGCGAGATGCGAGGGCAGTGGTATGTAGAGCGGCGTGGTGCGGGCGGCAAGGGCCGGCGCGAGCGGGCGCGGGGAGAGACCAGGAGCTACGCGGCTGGGCGGCGAGGGAGTGGGCGGCGGGACGGGGCGGACCCGGCGAGCGGAGGCGCGTCGGCGTTCGAAGCGATGGTCGGGAGGGCGAAGGGGGTGGGGGCGTTGGGCTGGAGAAGGTTCCGGGGGGTGACGATGGTGTTGTGATGGGGGGGTTGGCGGGGCCACAGATTGCGGGAACGAGAGGGCGGGGGACGAAGCGCGGGACGTTGGGCGGGGCAGGGTCCATGCGCCAAAAAAGGCAGATAGGGCGCAGGAGCGGGGAGGAACGCAGGCAGGCGAAGCAAGCCGGGGCGTGGCAGAAGGAGATTGGGGTTGCGTTGATGCGTGGCAGTGGTGCGGATGTGAGCAGGGCGGGCGCAAGAAGCGGGGAGAGACCGCGGCAGCGAGCGCGGGGCATTGGCGAGGGAGCTGGTATTGAGCGCTGCGGTGCGGGCGGGCAAGGCGGCGGCGCCGAAGGCGGGCCGGGGAGAACGCAGAGCTAGGCTGGGGGCGTGCCGAGGTGCGGGGCGACGGGACGGGAGGACGCGGTAGACGGAGCGCTCAGTGCGGGCGTTCGAAAGGAGGTGGGGTAGCGGGGGAGCGGGGCCGGCGAGCGAGTGGCCGTTGACTAAGAGAGATCGGTTCGAATGCTTACTCGGCAAGGCGTGCCGACAAGGATTCGGCGGTCGCGGGGCGGATGTGGGGACGGTGTCACAGATGCAGCGAGGAAGAGGAAGGGGCGGGGGGACGAGGCGCGGACGGTGCGGGGGGGGTCAGTGCGCGCAAGTAGGGCGCAGAGAACGGGAGGACGCTGAGGGCGGAGGCGGAGCGCGGGGTTGTACGAGGGATGGGGTGCGTGAGCGGGGCGTAGCGGTGCGGGACGGGCAAGGCACGGGCGCGGAAGAGCGGCGCGCGGGGAGAGACGCAGTGAGCTAGCCGATGGCGATCAGTCGAGGGAGTGGGGGCGGGCGGGGCGGGAAGCGGGGAGGGGACGCGGGAGCGGCGTGCGGGGGCGTGGCGAGGGAGTGGAGTGCGGGGGCGGGGGCGCGAGCCCGACCGGTGTATGCGCGGAGGCGTCGCGGGCGGGAGCAGCGGCCTGCCTGCGCGTGACGCAGACGTAAGCGTTGCGTCGGTGTTTCCGGGCCTCCTCGATCAATACGCGCCGCGGGATTTAAGTCCCGCGCCGCCTCCGACTCCTTTCCAAATGAGGGAATCCGAGTGCGGGTGCGGATGAAGGCGCGGGCGGGGGATTTATGCCAAATGAGGCTCGCATTCCGATGCGCCTGGATGGAATTACAAATGAAATTAGAGTATGACGGGCTAACAGCGGGTTTAAACAAAATGAGTGAACACTCTTCATATTGTGTTAAAAAGTTATTTTACTGATGAAGAGAAGAAACAATAATCCCAACACGATGTGTCACAATAACCGGCATTGCTGGTATGGCATCCACTAATGTATACAATAGCACTACTCGCATATCCCAACTCGGCAGTATATTTAAACAATGTCTCATTCACAGAATATTGTGATAAACATTTTGTGCAAAATAATATAATTCCTAAAATTATTCCCCAGAAAACTCTTTTATTCAAGTCAAACGGTTTTAAAATGTTTAATGTTTTTGTTTCCTTTCATGGTGTCTTGCATTCATGTTAGGGAAATTAGATTACTTATTCTTAATGTTACACATCTATTCCCTATGAAATGTCCTGTTGCCTTATTCACTTTCGTGATAACGTTGAAACTTCGCGAGTATCAGCAAATGTTTTTTTTTAACGACCAACTTAAAATTTACAAGGGAGTATATTCAAATTCTGGAATGCTACAAATATTGAAGATTCTAAAATTACATAATTATCTTATTTCGTAATTTTATAATTTGGAGTTCTCTGAATGCTACACACATATATTATTTTTTAATACTACAAGCTCTTTATTCCCTCTGATCTTCTACATTCTACAAACATTCAAGCATTTTACAGTTCATTTACTTTAAAATAGAAAAAAAGGACTTTTCCATGACATAATTTTGCAATTATGAATAAGATGCAAGAAATTCCAAACCCTTTTAGAATTAAATGTCTACAGAATTAAGGATTCGCCATTACATCTAAAACTTAGCGATAACCCTGAAAACGTGACTAAGTAATAGGCCGCTGAGAGTTCGTCGCAGAAACGCCAAGAGCGCACTACGCCATTGCTTTTACGAAAATTTACTCCCTCGCTCCGCCGACGGCGCGGCGCGTTGCCGGCACGAGAGCATTCGCGCCTCAGTGGCAACCTTGTTACAGACGCTCCACTCCGGAGACGCCATCCAAAGCGGAGGACAGCACCAGAGAGCGCTGGAGGACAGGTGTCAGAGGTCGCCCGTTGAAGCGAGCAGGAGAAAGCAGTTACTGGAGAAATTCCGTGGAAATGATGACAAGATGTGTCAGGAACCTAATACAACGGGACGCCGCCAACTCGGGGAGAGCAGGTTGCATCTGCGATTTTGTAGTCAATGGTCGACGTACGGAAGGTAAATGAAAACATCACCTTACTTCATTATGAGGGGGGTAAAATGATCAGAGGGCAGTTCCAATTGTTACAAAATTCTAGTAATTAAGGAACAATTAAAGTGTGATTTTATTCTGTTTGTTGTAAACATGTAATTCGGTGATTAATGGTTAAATGTAAGGGATTTTATAACATTTTCACGTTTAAATATTCATGTTTTGTTTGCAAAATTTATTTTTTAATATATTGATAAAATGTTATAAATTTTATAAGCCGCATGTACATTTAAGTACTGATTACATGAGATTTTGTGAAAAGAGATGACAGAGCAACGAAAGTGGTTGACACCCATGAAATGTCACTGTAGCGTCATATTTCAAAACATTTGTTTTCTCTACACTCTTCCAACACATGTGATCGTTCTCAAATGTCACTAAACAGCAATCAGCTGCCACAGCCACACAACTGATCTTTTGAAGCGACACAAATTCTTTCTACGACCAGTGGGGTTCAATTGTCGCTGTCTGTCAAAATCACGTTTGAACCGAAATGCTGAGCGCTACGTTCACTGTCCTTTTCTGGTAATTTCCCGTGTGTCAAATGGAGGTGTAGCTCTGTATCATCGCATTGGAAAATAACTTCGAAACAACGGAAGTGTTGGCAGAGTTTCTCCGTGGAAGCACTGAACTTGTTAATAGTAACTCTCTATCCATCAAGAGGCTCTGAGATGAGGCGAGCGTGGCAGTAGTTTGAGTTCTCGTTTACACAGGTGGTGACACAAAACCACAAGAGTAAGCATCAATCTCTTTCTACCTGTTTTCTGAGAATCAACGTTATGAAGCATTTCTTAAGAATTCTGCCCTGAACAAAATGTTTAGTAATAAGATCCAATATATTCAAACGTTCTTTCTAATTTCAATGCCTCTTTCAAAACTCTTCTTATGATTGCTAATAACAATTTAAATAATACATATTTCTTGTATAAATACTGTTATTTCGAAACCGATTGAACACTTGTTCTTTACACAGTTAACATTTCGCAATTCGAATTCTTGCTGTCCAACACTCCTGTTATTCACAAAAACGCCAATATCTAGCATTAAATGCACAAATTCTATTCAAAATACGTTTGAAGGATTTCCAATATTCCTCTTTCAACCTTACTTCTTCGGACTGAGAAAATCAGTTTTTGATTCAACAGAAATTGTAATTAAACAATTCAAAACTTTCTTGATCTTTGCGAGTTCAAAAAATGACGACAACCCCATAAATGGAAAGAGTGAATAATCCGCTGTCAAATGTACCGATCTGAAGACAGACAATGGGAAGAGGGGGACAGTCTCCCCTCCCTCGCGTTCCGACACCTGCACCGCACCTGCACCGACACCTGTCTCCGGGTGACATTGCAACAGGGCGGAGGACAGGCGATTGGCTTCCACGCACTCGCGAGCGGTGAAGCGCGCTTCCCTTCTGCGCCTCACTCTTCACCCGCAGGTCTTCCTTTTATGGCAGAAAACAAATCCTGATAAACAAACTACAAATAGTACCGAATGTAGGGCGGCCCGTGGCGTAGGGGTAGGACTACTGGAGCCCGGGTTCCCTCCCAGGCGGTTCCAAGTGGAATTTGTGGTGGACAAAGCGAGTTTTGTCGGGGTACTCCCGTTTCCAATATGCATTCCACCGGGTCGCTCCACCATGCGTTTCCTACCCTATAGTGTCTTAACTCCGTTAAAGATCTACGGTTAAACATCGGCGCCTAGGCGATAGAAGAACTAGCTGGGAAGGGCGGCTTATCGACAGATCGAATCTCGGCCTGGAGTACTAGAGAGAGGGGAAATGGTGAGGGAGTGGGCGACGCCCCTTTCCAAGACCCGAGATACCGCTTGTAGAGATTGAATGTAATTCCAGGCGGGAAGAGGGCCACAGCTTGAAGCTGAGGGAGAACAACTGGGATTCGTTTA